CTGGCGGGATCTTACAAATTATGCATTGATTAGAAGCCACAAGATTCAAATTATCATGATGTCATCACCAGACAAGTACTGACCTGTTTTAAATGCGGCCGGTAGCTTAGACTGTAAAAATAACGATGTTTGGTTTAGCTGTTTCCCATCTATTGTTTAGTCTGCTGGCATCCGCTATGAGAAACGATGTTTTTGGTATCCGCTATGAGAAACGATGTTTTTGGTATCTGCTATGAGAAACGATGTTTTTGGCATCCGCTTTGAGAAACGATGTTTTTGGTATCCGCTATGAGAAACGATGTTTTTGGTATCCGCTATGAGAAACGATGTTTTTGGTATCCGCTATGAGAAACGATGTTTTTGGTATCCGCAGAAACTGCATTGTTTGAATTCGCCGTTAGGGATGTACTGTTTCAACAGTTTTCTGTGATTTCACAATTCGTAAAGTAGAGAATATTATCCGCTGTCATGGCATTCCCACAACTTGTTTATTCACAGACAGTAAGTGCAGCTATGTTCATTGTTGTACGCTTTAGTTTATCAACTATGGGCTTGGGCTTCTTTCTACCAGAGCGCGTAGACGTGGCAGTGCTGGGGAGAACTATTAGATATCACACATAGACATAAGTACATAGATACGACAAACGGCCGTCTGTGGGAAGCAGGCAACAATTCTGAATCATACACTCGCGGCATTTAGTCTTCTCACCCTTGAATGATACCTCTCGGTAAGCAAGACGACTGGTCCCTTTTTGAGCATGTTCGTACGCTCACCGCATGTAAAGCAAAATGTTCCACGCCTTCAAGGGTATTGGCCATCTGGAGCTAGACCTGTATCTGGTAAATATCACGATGGCCGTCTTTACTTCCCGGGACTTTATCTGCTACACAATTTAAGGCTGGGTCGACCTGGGAAATAAGGTCATATCCGAAAAATTCCGGCTTCGTTCGGTTTTGAACCCACGCAGGCGAGCATCTAGCCGCTACACCACAGCTTCTGCCTTATCAGCTAATCTTTATCGTCTGCCTTCTATCCTCCAGGGAATATATGCCCTCAACCTTCTCACGCCAAGTCGTTCTATTCCTCGCAGTTGCATTCTTCGCTATTGCATGCAGTGCATCCCACATCCTTCCTCTTTTTTGTTTGAATTAATCAAGTAACAGAAAGTATTGTGATGGGCACTCATAGAAAGAAGTAGAAAGATTCACTCTCCAGTTCCATTTTCATCGTTCTATCTATTAGAAGGGCCCTCCCTGCAATCTTGCTGGACTGTGTATTTCTTGTTTTTCTTTTTGACTTTTCTTTGCTTGGTTTTGTGGCTATTGATTTTAAACGATGAGTGAATTAGCCAGTCCTACCGTTAGTCGCCTCCTACGACATGTCACAATGTCTCTGGTTCAAATCAGCATCTGTGAGGTTTAGGTTTCTTTTCTGTTTAGCGACAACATCATGCGAGATTTAGGGAAGTCACATATTATAGGGGGGGTTAGGGTTAGCAGTAGCCGCCATTCATTTAACACTACATCTAAACCTTCCCCCACCCCTTTTCCACAATATAAGATTTCCATAAATCTCGCGTGATGAGGTCACTAAACAGAAAAAATAACCCGGTTTTGTTTCGATAGGTACTTTGCCTCCCAGGTCGACCTAGCTTAAATGGGTGCCAGGTAGTGTCATAAGTCAAAGCGATGTTGAGCACAACGTCCGCCTAGTGACGATTGCTCTATACAAATATCAGTCCGGCATCGTATGTCCGACGCTCCACTGGTGTAAAAACGGACCTTAACTTGACTTAACTGTTGCCTGTTTACAACGGAAATTCAATATCTGTACTTTCTGGGACCAGAAAGCAATGGCAAACTACTGGACATAAATTTGCCTAGGAGAACCACACGTCAGGGGCTGTTAGGGTTGGTTCTGCAACTTCCTGTAAAGGATACGCAACTAACCTAACTTTCTGGGAACACACGTACGACCTCATCATTTTTGGACTGTTTTCACCGTCCTTGTGTAGTACTGCCCGACTGTCAACAACCCTAGTGTAAAGACATTGTCATGCCCGCTTTTTCTGCCCCCCCCCCCCCCCCCCCAAGAGCACACCCCATTGAGAATAGCCGCATACGTGCCCTTCGGTGCCCAGGAGAAAGCAGGGGCAATAGATAGGCATTTAACTTATTGCCTTCACTGCTGCAGATACAATGCATGATGGTCAGATTTTCTTTGCTCACGCCCTGGACATTGCTGCCCAACATCACTGTGTATTGGACCTCCCTTTCAAGTTTTTGAGGTTCGTCAGATGGTTTCACAACGTATACCTCGACGTTTACCCTGGGTTGAATCCCACAATTGACGTAACAGAAAACGACCGTTTTCGTGGCTGTCAGACAGGGGTATGAGAGTCACACCATGGAAGAGACTGGTACCTCACCGAGTAATATTTCTATAATCGGCGTTGGAAACAGTGCAGCTAAAATCTCATTTGTGGAGACGACACAATTTGTTGTTCTTCATAATACCAGTTCATTAGGACTGCTCCACCCTAACCGTACTGGTTTGAATAGGGAAACATGTACCGTTGCCAACAGAAGGTCCTAGTACCGCCTTAATTAACTCACGGGAGCTGTGGGTAACCTCTGCATGTCAAGTGACTTTCCCTAAATAGAAATTGTATTCCTGTAGGGGCCTCGGCACACTGCTTTGTCTAGGGCCCACAGATTAGTCTGTGTGTGTAAAGTGACTTCCCAAAAATTTCATTCCGGTAAGGGGGTATCATATGGGGCCCCAACACACTGTAGGGGCCTCAGCACACAGCTTGACCCAGGGGTCCATAACGCTGTTGAGACGCGGTTCTTATGGAACCACGAGTGTTCTGATGAGCATAGCCAACCTTCAAAGTAACCTGGCTACACACACCTGCCTCCTGGATGTGCCCAGAAAAAGAACGGCAGCAGTTAGTACAACTACTTGTCCCCAGAAGGTAGACACGGAGGACAATTTTCCGTGTTTACTCGCCCGTTAAGACTGTTGATCGTCTGCACGAAATGGTGTGCCATGTTAGGAATGTTGACCCACCATCTCTGAAGACACTCAGGCAACTTATCATCTACTGTAAACACGCGGTTAGACACCCATACATAAATTGTCTTGTCTACATGCTGATCACGGTTTCTGTATACCCACCGACTTTGCAGTCATCCATTAACGTTGATACAGTCTAGTCATTGTAAGGCTTGTCTGTGTGTACAGGCCAGGACTGAATTTAGCTGTCACAATTCTATCTTTAATTGAAGTGTTATTTATATATCCTTTGTCATGAGTTGTATGTGTTCGTGTGTGGCCATTGTGTATCTACAAGTTCTTTTCTTTTTAAAAGGGTGCTGTAGATTGTTGTGACTGGTGTGGTTCTTGTACATGGTTGTCAAAAGGTTGTTTCTGTTATATAGGCAAGCTTTCTAGGGCATTGGTTACATCTGGGTACGTAATTTTTCCACTCCAGGATTGCTGTCCGTACAATTAACACCTCTATATATGTTGTATAGGACTATATTGTCTTCTATATATGTTGTATAGGACTATATTGTCTTCTATATATGTTGTATAGGACTATATTGTCTTCTATATATGTTGTATAGGACTATATTGTCTTTTATATGTGTTGTATAGGACTATATTGTCTTCTATATATGTTGTATAGGACTATATTGTCTTTTATATGTGTTGTATAGGACTATATTGTCTTCTATATATGTTGTATAGGACTATATTGTCTTTTATTTGTGTTGTGAAGCGAGGGACATAATACAGATTAACGTCGGTGATATTATGAACTAACTCTCTCTCTCCCCCCTCTCCCCCCCCATACACTCTCTCTCTCTCCCTCCCCCACCCACACACAATCTCTCTCTTCTCTCTCTCCTCCCACCCACACACACACTCTTTCTCTCCCCTCTCTCTCTCTCTCCCCCCCACCCACACTCTCTCTCCCCCCCACCCACACACTCTCTCTTCTCTCTCTCTCTCCCACCCCACACACACTCTCTCTCTCCCCCCCCACCAACACACTCTCTCTCTCTCTCTCTCTCTCTCTCCCCCCCCCACCCACACACTCTCTCTCTCTCTTATCTCCCACCCACACACACACTCTCTCTCTTCTCTCTCTCTCCCCACCAACACACTCTCTCTTCTCTCTCTCTCCCCCCACCAACACACACTCTCTCTTCTCTCTCTCCCCCCCACCCACACACACTCTCTCTCTCCCACCCACACACACACTCTCTCTCTCCCACCCACACACACACTCTCTTCTCTCTCTCTCTCCCACCCACACACTCTCTTCTCTCTCTCCCCCCACCCACACACTCTCTTCTCTCTCCCCCCCCCACCCACACACACACTCTCTTCTCTCTCTCTCCCCCCCCCACCCACACACGCTCTCTCTCTCCCACCCACACACTCTCTCTCTTCTCTCTCTCTCTCTCTCTCCCCACCCACACACTCTCTCTCTTCTCTCTCTCTCTCAAATGCACGTGCGTGTGTGCACTCTCACTTACTTATTTACTGACACACACCCACAGCAGCCTTTCCCTACCATATAAATCAGTATTCTAGTTTACTGTAATTGGTTCTGGTCTCAAGTTGTTTTCTCTATCCAGTATGTTACTGCTGTTTGTTTTTATATGTTTAAAAATGTACACCTTACCTGCTCTGAGCAGGGTATGGATAGATCTAAAACTGGATGTTTATATATATATATAATCATGGTTGAAAAAGTTTTGAATAATTATTTTGTTTACTTTTATTTTTTCAGAATGGCAAAACTGGATCATCTGGTGATGCAAACAAAGTTGGATCAGGCGGTGAGACATCTAGTGAAGATAACAAGAAGTCCTGCAATGGTGCTGCAGCTGTGAAGAGACGAAAGAAGGGAAAGCAAACAGTCGCACCTGCATCTAAGATGGCCAAAATGACGGCCACAGTTGCTGCAAATGCCACTGCCAAAATGGAACCTATTGGCATCACTATCCCCAAGACCCCAGAGAAACCTAAAGAGGATGAGGATAAGGTTATTGAAATTCCAAACATGGACTCCCCTCTCTTCAAAGATGTTCCCTCAAAGAAAAAAGTAGAATCATCCTCAGATTCTTCATCTTCTTCAGGAGATAGCTCCTCTTCTGATGACTCATCCTCATCAGATGACGATTCCGATGATGAGGAGGAGGATAAGAAAGATACGGATATCATTGGCAACACTGAGATGGTTGAAGAACAAGATGAACCACCAAAGACCAGAACACCCATTAAACTGACTATCTCCAATCTGGGCAAACCCTCGGCTAAAGTGACTTCAACAGCGTCCAGAGAGTTGATTGAAAGCAATTCATCTGACTCGGACACTGATGTTGATGACCATGAACTGCAAAAACCTGTCAAAGACACAGTGATTCCAGTGAAGGAAAATGTCTATGTAAGCCCTGTGACATCACACATCAGCACGCTTCCACTACAGAATGATATGAACAGCGAACCAGTGAATGATGTCAGCAATGCCAACTACAAAAACATGGCCGTGCTACAGCAGCCAAACCACATAGAGCGCGACATTCTCAGCAAAAATCCAGGCGATGTACGAGAACATTGCAAGGATGAAGATTTACTTAGTGACTCAGTGGTAAACTTCCACATACTCCCCACTGAGATTTCACACTTTGCTATTGCTAATGATAAAACTCTTGACTGTTCAGGCAGTGAAAATTCCACATCAAATAATATACACGAAAAGAGTGGTTTTGCAAAAGACTCCACCAAAGACTCTTCAGAGATATTCAAAAAAGTGAAAGTAGGAACTGAATCTGAAAATTCTAGACATCAACAAAGTGAATTTCTCAAGAAGGAGGAGATTTCAGCAGCTGTGACGGGATTCCAAGAGCCGCCATTGAAGAAAACAGACATTAAAACAGAACTGAATTCTGCACTGTTGAGAGATAGCCTGGGGACTAAATATTGTCCAGATGGTTTCATTTTGGCTCCAACTCTCAGCAAGTGTCCACAGCATCTCAAAGCTACAGTTAACATCCCTCAGCCACTTGTGGGCTCGGACGTACTTAGACTGGACAAGGATAATGGTGTTTCACACAGTGAAGAATCTTCACACAGTGCTGCTTTAGATAAGACAGATATCCTTGAATCCTCAGAGGATGACAGCAAACATGGCATCACAAATCAGAGTTCTCCACAAGTCAATTCACTCAGGAGTAGTAGCCAAAGTCCAGCAACAGATGGTGCTGTTGAGCACTTCTCAAGCAAAGAAAAACCAGACAGAGAGACATCAGAGAAGAAAAATGATGTGTGTGAAATCAAAGACCAGAATCTCAATATTAAGATAAGTAATTCCAATAATAAGGATGATGACAAATCTCTTGCCATGACAAAAGCGGACGTCAGTTCAGTGGATAGTGCTGCTAGAGTGACAACAGAATCTCTCGTAACTGGCACCCTGAAGAGTCAAGATACAACAGCGGTTCCTGTGCCATTGTCCAGAAGCACAACCACCAAAATGACATCAGCTGTGTCAACGTTCACCACAAACAGTGGTAGTATCACGAGTCCCGGCAGCAGGAGCTGCAGTAGTAGTAAAAGCAGTGGATTTACCAACGGTATCCCTGACAGTGAGAATCCATTCATTACTTGGACCAAGTATGATAATGATAATTCTGGGCCTGTAAACACAGCCTTGCCAACATCCAGTCTTGTGCAGGCTCTAGCCCGGGCACCTTTTCCTCCTTTGGCTCTTCCAGGGGAGTCACCAATTCCGCAGATATCTCCTCTTGGTGGGGCTGTGCCTCAGCTGTCCCCTTTAAGCCTGGCAGGATTGTCGCCGGGGAGCAGTCAGATTTCCAGGTTGTCTCCAGGCAGTCAGATGCCTCGCTTGTCGTCCCCGACTTCCCACAGGCTGAGGTCATCACCTGGCCACAGCGCCGTTCAGCAGCAGTTGTCTCCTTCCCTGGGTCGACCAGGACACTCAGCTTCCTGTGATGGGAGCAAGCTTGGACATGGGGAAGATGGCAAGGTGAAAAGTGCACCCAAAAGGTAAAGTCAAAGCTGCAGCTGACACTGTTAGCTCATTCACTTTAATCAACTCACCATGTGCTCTTCTTAAAACCTTTGAGGCATATCTACTTGTTACCACATTTTATTCAACAGGTTTATTATTTCAGTTGTGTAAAGATTCTTTTAACAGAGAGTTAAGGATAACCCTGATGTATGAAGTAAAGCACACATGTGAGCATTCTCCACAGAATGTCTTCTTTATTCTGGCGCCTCAAGGTTGTTTAGTTTACGGTAGCAGCTCTGTGGGGTCAAAGTGACCACTGTATAGGACTGAAAGAGTTAATCATAACAACAGTAGATCATATAACAACAGTACATCAGCAGGTCATCCATGTCCCACTCTGTAATCATAACAACAGTACAGCAGCAGGTCTCCATGTCCCACTCTGTAATCATAACAACAGTACATCTAATCATAACAACAGTACATCAGCAGGTCATCCATGTCCCACTCTGTAATCATAACAACTACAGTAGCAGGTCATCCATGTCCCACTCTGTAATCATAACAACTACAGTAGCAGGTCATCCATGTCTCACTGTAATCATAACAACAGTACAGTAGCAGGTCATCCATGTCTCTGTAATCATAACAACAGTACATCAGCAGGTCATCCATGTCCCGCTCTGTAATCATAACAACAGTACATCAGCAGGTCATCCATGTCCCACTCTGTAATCATAACAACAGTACATCAGCAGGTCTCCATGTCCCACTCTGTAATCATAACAACAGTACAGTAGCAGGTCATCCATGTCTCACTCTGTAATCATAACAACAGTACATCAGCAGGTCATCCCTGTCTCACTCTGTAATCATAACAACAGTACATCAGCAGGTCATCCATGTCTCACTCTGTAATCATAACAACAGTACATCAGCAGGTCATCCCTGTCTCACTCTGTAATCATAACAACAGTACATCAGCAGGTCATCCATGTCTCACTCTGTAATCATAACAACAGTACATCAGCAGGTCATCCATGTCTCACTCTGTAATCATAACAACAGTACATCAGCAGGTCATCCATGTCCCACCCTGAAATCATATCAACAGTTTTTTGACAAACCTTATTTTTTGTAATGGGTTGAGAAAAGCCAAAAAAAAAAAAAAAAAGCACAGAGGACTGTCGTGGTGATTGTATTTGTCGTATATATAATGAGATATTAGGAATAGGTTTCCTGTGTAGTTAAGTTGTATTGTGGATGGTTCCCGGAGAAGTGTGTTGTTATACATGCCTCTAGGGGAGGTACATCATTCAAACCTGATCCTCTTGTGGAGGTATGTCTTACAGACCAGATTCCTTTGGGGAGGTATGTCTTACAGACCAGATCCCTTTGGGGAGGTATGTTTTACAGACCAGATCCTCTTTAGGAGGTATGTCTTACAAATCAGATCCTCTTGGGGAGATATGTCTTACAAACCAGATCCTCTTGGGGAGGAAGTCTTACAAACCAGATCCTCTTGGGGAGGTATGTCTTACAAACCAGATCCTCTTGGGGAGGTATGTCTTACAAACCAGATCCTCTTGGGGAGGTATGTTTTACACACCAGATCTTCTTAGGGAGTTGTTTTACACACCAGATCCTATTGGGGAGGTATGTCTTACAAACCAGATCCTCTTTGGGAGGTATGTCTTACAAACCAGATCCTCTTGGGGAGGTATGTTTTACACACCACATCCTCTTGGGGAGGTATGTTTTACACACCAGATCCTCTTGGGGAGGTATGTTTTACACACCAGATCCTCTTGGGGATGTATGTTTTACACACCAGATCCTCTTGGGGAGGTATGTTTTACACACCAGATCCTCTTGAGGAGTTATGTCTTACAAACCAGATCCTCTTAAAGAGGTATGTCTTTCAGACCAGATCCTCTTGGGGAGGTATGTCATACGTACTACTCTTGGGAAGATATGTCATACATACTACTCTTAGGTAGGTATGTTATACATACTACTCTTAATGAGGTATGTCATACAGACTAAATTCCTTTGTCAAACAAACACACTTGGAAACATGTGTCACCACCCTCTTGAGGTTTGTCTTACAGACCCTCTTTTGGATGTTTGTACCATGCAAGCTTTCCAGGGTGGTGTATTGAGTTTTGCACTCTCTTGGGGAGGTAGATCCTGTGGAAATCCTGGGGAAAATGTCTGCTTTATCTATATACAGAATTGTATTTGTTAAAATTGGCATATACCAAACCTGACATCACGCATTGTACCTATGGCCTCGGGCAGAGAAGCTCATTAGGGAGGATACTAGCTTTATGCTAGGAAGAGGAAATGCAGCCTGGAACCCTAGCCTTAGTTGGCAGCTGGTCTAACCAGGCAATCTCTGACAAGTGGGCAGACAGCATTGCTTTTAAGAATCAGTGATTTCTACAACATGCTTTGTTTTGCAACTATTGGTGTTACTTTTTCTTTGAGGTAAACAAGGCAAGCTGAGAGAGGATCATGATGCATGGGGGCAACACATAGTCCTTAATACTGCCCTGGCTTTGTGTTATTTGGAAGAGGAACTTCATCCCTGGCCTTAATTGGCTAAGATTCTTCTGCCTCTGTAACACAAAACAACACTGGAGTCTGAAAAGATGGAAAGTTGCCTACAAACAGTTGGACCCTGTGTGGGTTCCAGGGCCCCATTAAGGGAAAAAAGGGGGGGGGGGGGGTATAGACCCGCTGCCTTCCTTACAAGTATGTCATAAAAAGCAACTATTTCGGAATGTTTCCTCCACAAAATTGAAGTGCATCTGCCTGAGTGGAGAGGAACTAGCAGCTGCATACAAGTGCGCCGGATCTGTGAAACAGATGTGCATGCAGAACTTGAAGTCTGAAACAAGACAAGTCCAGAAATGGATAAACAACCAGAACCTTCCGCTGGAAAAGCCCTATGAAGAAATATAATTCTATAGCAGATGCTTGGGCAGTATGTGTAAAACATTCTCAGAATTTCATATAAACTTAGGCATGGCTCTTGTGAGTTGAGGTCATTAGTTATTTTCCTTACAAACATTTATTTTCTGGACTCAGATCAGAGCTAAAGTCATATCATGTTTTACAGCTCAGTTCATTAGGATGATTTCCTGATCTAGAGATAAACCAACAACAGTTGCAATGAACATTTTATAATAATTTTATTCATTATACATTTTACAGTTTTATTAATGTTTAAAATATCCATTAGATGTGTTTGTTAACTTTTCTGTTTCCTGTTATTTCAGTGTGAAAAGAACATCTCGTTTGTCCAACATCATTGACAGCCTGCGGACATCCAAGGAGAAGGAAGCAGCTGGGACCAGCCAGACTGGCATGGAGCAGGGGAAGAAAGGCACCCTGGATGTTTCATTGGGCAGTGGCAAAAAGTCACCATTACTTGAATCACCCTCGGCCTCTGGGCAGAAGTCATCCTTGTCATCGACCTCGTCCTCACCAGTGTTTACATCAACTCTTGCTTCCGACCAGAGATCACAGAGTGAGCGGCTGTTCCGGGACAGCCTAGGATTTCCCCATCAGATCAGTGTTGACACACAACACGCTATCAGATCCAGCCTGGACGCTGCAAGAGCTCAGACCATAAACAACAGCTTCAATGCTTTAAAGGATGACCTGGATAAGGGGAAGAAAATGCTGGAAAATTTAGAACTCATGAAAAATGGACTTTTGGATCCTTATAAGTCAGGGCTGTCGGATCAGAAATCCAGAAAAGTGGATAACATTCACACACAGAATCGTTCCAAAACATCTTCACTGTCGTTAAATTCCTCCTCTGCTGCTGTGTCCTCTGCACCGTCTTCGTCATCCAGGCCATCATCTCGTCAGTCTAGCAAACTCAGTAGTCAGACATATCCATCAACATCGCCATCATCATCAACCGCTTCCTCTAGGCCTAGTACGGTTACCACTACCACTAGCAACAGCTTCAGCAGCACCAGCGGCACTAACAGCATCAGCAGTGCTGCTATGTTCCAGGCAGCTCCCTCTGCTGCTCTGGCTGCTGCCCACATGGAGCTGAATGCCGCCGCTGCCAACATCCTTGCGTTCCAGCACATGTACGGGATGCAGGACCCTTACATGATGAAGACTTTGATGAGCAACCCATTGTACCTGCAGCGAATGATGGAGTTCCAGAAGCAGGCCATGGATCCTCTGATGCTGCGGCAGCTGGAGATGTTTGAAGCTGCAGCTGTGGCAGAGAAGAGCAAGAATAAGGACCAGCAGCGGGCGGCCATGAATGCTCAGTCCATTCTGTGGCAGGCACAAGCTGCATCCATCCTCCAGCACCAGCAGATGCAGCAGTTTCAGCAACTGCAGCTTCACCATCAGCAACAACTTCAACAACAGGCAGCCGCAGTGAGAGAGCGGGAAACCAGGGAGACCATTGCAGCAATCATGGCCAGCAAGGGCAGTAACTTGAGTACTCACACCAACAAATCCAGTGGCAGCATTTCAACAGGGCAATCAGCTAAATCCCTGATGGCATCAGCCGTACCGTCACCATCAACATCTTCAACCAGCAAGAGACCACGCCCTTTAGTGCCCCAATCTCCTTCGGACATTTACTCCAGAGATGGTGCCAGTCTGGAAAAGAAGCTGCGATCTAGTCATCCGACTTCTAGTCATGTTTCAAACCATAACAGCTACCACCCAACATCCACATCTTCCACCACCACCTCATCCTCGTCTAAGCACGTGCAGATGTCCAGCAAACCCTCGAGCTCCACAAGCAGCAGTATTAAGCAACGCAGCGGCAGCAGCACACCAAGCCTGCAGTCCAAACATGAGTTGTTTGAGTTGCCCTCTGCCCTGCATCTGTCAGCTGCAACCTCGCCCAATCTATGGGGGTTCCCAACGATTCTCCAGCCTCCATCGGTGGATATGACTCGCATGTCTCGATACTTTGAGCGACCAGGTGAAACACCATCTTCTTCTTCATCTTCCGCTGGTCCTGTGGAGGCCGAAGCTGCTGGTGCTGAAGTTTTGGACCTTAGTGTGAAGCCAAGAACAGGCAAAACATGAAGACGGAAAAAATATGCATGTGAGCTTACAGTACAGAGTTTAGCAGCCATCTGACTTGTGTGCTAAAGTCTGCTGAGCTCAGAATATCTATTATTGTACATTTAGCTCAGTGTTGTGATGGACAAATCTTGTGTTTGTCCCTGAGGTTTTTCCCATTTTATTTAGAAATATTTAGCATGGAAATAATCAATGTTAGTCATGTTCTGTTTAATTAATTCAGTTACGTGAAACACATTGTTACGTAATTGTCCACAAAGAAGACAGTTGACAATTGTGAGCATTAAGTATTATTGTAATTATTATTATGTTACTGTCGGTTATTACCTTTCTTGCACAGTCAGTTGGATGTGTATATTACAGTGGATGATATCTGGATTATTTTCATGTAACAGCTAAAACAGGTGGGCAGACGGATATCAGTGTTGTCCGTGGATATACAGACTTCATTAACCGTCAGTGCTTTTCACAATTCATGGATATATATCCGGATTGGATAACATAATCTGTGCAAATCTACCAGTGGGTCATTGAGTGTCCGGTAGTCCACGTTTTGTGTCCACATTTTCTTTGTTTTGTCTTTTGAAAAACATTTTGACTCATTTTCATTGTTAATGTTCTATCATCAAATGAGGCTACTGGTAGCTTAGATGCATGTGTGCATGTGTTTCTAACACTTACTGCCACTAGCTGTGTGCAGAACCACAAACACATTTGTGAATTACCACAGGAAAGATGATTTCCAACTGCAAATATTTTATACTGACTTCAAATTTCATCCGACTTTTTTCTTCTTTTTCTTTTGTTTGTTTTGTTTTTGTTGTTTGTTTCATATATGGTTGTTGCTAATGTCCCTCTTTAGAAAAATAACCAATATGTAAGTTGTTGCTAACGTATGTCTGGTCCTGTGTTCACATTTTCTCGTAAGATATTGTGCTCTAGCATTTCCAGTTATCGGTTTTTGTTTTTTATTTGTTGAGCATTTGCATTTCTGTGCCCAGAGCAGGTGTAATCATCTCTTGGTGTTAACATTTTCTTTTTTTCAAATCAGAAAAATTTAACATTAGTACTGTACAGTTGTGACAGTATTTGTTGTTGCCTGTGTGTGAGGACAGGATTTCACGCTAATTGTTTGGGGTACACAGCCCAGGAATATGTGTAGATTTGTTTCTGACCTCCTATTGGGGCAGGTTGTACCTTCCATTGGGGCAGGGTGTACCTCCCGTTAGGGCAGGGTGTACCTCCCGTTGGGGCAGGGTGTACCTCCCGTTGGGGCAGGGTGTACCTCCCGTTGGGGCAGGGTGTACCTCCCGTTTGGGCAGGGTGTACCTCCCGTTGGGGCAGTGTGTACCTCCCGTTGGGGCAGGGTGTGCCTCCCGTTGGGGCAGTGTGTGCCTCTTGTTGGGGCAGTGTGTGCCTCTTGTTGGGGCAGGGTGTGCCTCCCGTTGGGGCAGGGTGTGCCTCCCATTGGGGCAGGGTGTGCCTCCCGTTGGGGCAGGGTGTGCCTCCTGTTGGGGCAGGGTGTACCTTCCGTTGGGGCAGGGTGTACCTCCCAGTGCTAATGCATGTTCACAGTTGTTACATGGGGCCAAGATGTAGTGTTTTGAATCATTGTGAAGGTTTGTTTGGGAGTTAAGGCCATTGTGTCTGTTTAATCAGCAAATGTTCACGTTTAGTTTGCCAAACAGTTTTGGGCACTCACAGAATCAGAATAGCCACAACTTTCATATAGTTTTCACCAAATGATTAAAAAAATGTAAGAAGCTGAACTATAAAGTCTAATTTTTATTTCACATGTTTAAGGCATGTTTGTTTGTTTACATGTGTCTGCAGAACTTGATGTTTTGCCTGCATCCGTCTGCAGAACTTGATGTTTTGCCAGCATCTGTCTGCAAAACTTGATGTTCTGCCTCTATCTGCAAAACTTGATGTTTTGCCTGTGTTTGTCTGCAGGATATAATGTGTCACCTACATCTGTCTGCAGGATATAATGTGTCACCTGCATCTGTCTGCAGGATATAATGTGTCACCTACATCTGTCTGCAGGACATAATGTGTCACCTACATCTGTCTGCAGGATATAATGTGTCACCTACATCTGTCTGCAGGACAAAATGTGTCACCTACATCTGTCTGCAGGATATAATGTGTCACCTACATCTGTCTGCAGGATATAATGTGTCACCTACATCTGTCTGCAGGACATAATGTGTCACCTACATCTGTCTGCAGGATATAATGTGTCACCTACATCTGTCTGCAGGACAAAATGTGTCACCTACATCTGTCTGCAGGATATAATGTGTCACCTACATCTGTCTGCAGGATATAATGTGTCACCTACATCTGTCTGCAGGACATAATGTGTCACATCTGTCTGCAGGATATAATGTGTCACCTACATCTGTCTGCAGGACATAATGTGTCACCTACATCTGTCTGCAGGATATAATGTGTCACCTGCATCTGTCTGCAGGACATAATGTGTCACCTACATCTGTGTGCAGGATATAATGTGTCACCTACATCTGTCTGCAGGATATAATGTGCCACCTACATCTGTCTGCAGGATATAATGTGTCACCTACATCTGTCTGCAGGACATAAAGATTTAGGTTTAGAGATGAGATCAAAATCATGGCACCCATAAGTGCTCTGTTTTACTTCTGACTCAAGCTCGAGTCTGAGCATCTCAGTGCACGAACTGGCAAGGATCCTGAAATACTGTGGGTAGATTTTGAACTGCAAATTGTGCCCCGGCGGCGCCGTTAGGCTACTCTTTTCACATTTCCAAGGATTTTTTTTTTTACATATGTAGCAATACACAGGCGTCTAATCTTATAACCTAAAGACCAGGGGAAATTACTAGAAGTCCATGTGAAAAAAATCCCAGCCTTTACCTGGACTTGAACCTGGGACCTCCTGCACTTCAGGCAGACGCCATGCCTTGACACCCCCACCCCTCCCCAGATACACAGGCAGATATAATGTATATCACCTACATCTGTCCGCAGGAAATATGTCACCATGTCTGTCTGCGGGGCATATGTCACCATGTCTGTCTGCAGGGCATATGTCACCATGTCTGTCTGCAGGGCATATGTCACCATGTCTGTCTGCAGGGCATATGTCACCATGTCTGTCTGCAGGGCATATGTCACCATGTCTGTCTGCAGGGCATATGTCACCATGTCTGTCTGCAGGGCATATGTCACCATGTCTGTCTGCAGAACAGTCTGTCACATCTATTAATTGTCAGCAGAGCAGAAATGTGTAATGTCTTCACCTCCGAGTGTGCCCAGAATCCAGCCAGTACTGAGGTGCTGGAGAGGTTTCTGCCAGATATCTGGGGCCAGTGTGGCGCTATAAACACAGCAGTTCTCCATGGCAGTAACATGTGTCTTCTGTTGTTTTAAACCACATATGATGTTTATAATCCACTGTTGTTTTAAACCACATGTGATGTTTGTAATCCACTGTTGTTTTAAACCACATGTGATGTTTATAATCTTAGAGATTTAACAGTGCATTGATAAAGTATCTGAAGGTATCACCAGGTTGCTGTCTCCTGTCTCTCTCTTTCTCTCTCACACACACCCACACACACAAAGACCACTAAAAGCTACACACTCACAAATACACACCACTAAAAGTTCTTCACAAACATATTACACACTCACAGATGTACGCCACTTAAAGTTACACAGACACATCACTATACTCGCCACACTCGCATACAAACACTACTAAAAGCTGCTTACACATACCAGTAAAGGTTACACACACAGACCACTAAAAACTCTCACCCTTCTATGCAACACACACCACTAAAAGTTACACTCACAGACACAAACCACTAAAAGTTACACTCACAGACACACAAACCACTAAAAGTTACACTCACAGACACAAACCACTAAAAGTTACACTCACAGACACAAACCACTAAAAGCTCTTGCCCACCTATGCACACACACACCACTAAAATTAACACACTCACAGACACACAAACCACAAAAAGTTACACTCACACACACACCACTAAAAGTAAAACACTCACAGACACACACACACACACACTAAAAGTAACACTCAGACACACACACACTAAAAGTAACACACACACCACTAAAAGTTACACTCACAGACACACACACCACTAAAAGTTACACACTCACAGACACACATCACTAAAAGTTACACACTCACAGACACACATCACTAAAAGTTACCCACTCACAGACACACATCACTAAAAGTTACACACTCGCAGACACACAACATTAAAGATTACACACTCACAGACACACACCACTAAAAGTTACTTATAGACACACACCACTAAAAGTTACTCACAGACACACATCACTAAAAGTTACACACTCACAGAGACACATCACTAAAAGTTACACACTAACAGACACACATCACTAAAGATTACACACTTACAGACACACACCAATAAAAGTTACTCACAGACACACATCACTAAAAGTTACTCAAAAACACATCACTAAAAGTTACTCACAGACACACACCACTAAAAGTTTCACTCACAGACACACCACTAAAAAATGTTACTCACAGACACACCACTAAAAGTTACTCACAGACACACACCACTAAAAGTTACTCACAGACACACACCACTAAAAGTTACTCACAAACACATATAACTAAAAGTTACTCAAAAACACATCACTAAAAGTTACTCACAGACACACCACTAATAGTTACTCACAGACACACACCACTAAAAGTTACTCACAGACACACACCACTAAAAGTTACTCACAGACACACACCACTAAAAGTTACTCACAGACACACACCACTAAAAGTTACAGACACACACCACTAAAAGTTACTCACAAACACACATCACTAAAAGTTACTCACAGACACACAACACTAAAAGTTACTCACAGACACACACCACTAAAAGTTACTCACAGACACACACCACTAAAAGTTACTCACAGACACACACCACTAAAAATTAC